AACCCCCCTTTCCTACCCCAGTCTTTCAGCCCTTATTTCTTTTTTACCAACTGGCTTAAAATGGCAAACTGAGAACTCTATGCTTATCACATAACCAAGAGCTTCCTCTTCCTTGATTCAACTCCATTCTTTTTCACTCACTGCTCCATACTCTTGGAATTTTCTCCTTGAACATTTGCACACTGCTTCCTCTCTCATTTTATAATCTCAATTAAAAACTTTTTTTACAAAAAACTGTAAGTTTAGTTTAACGTTTGTGTATTGTTTTACATATCGTTGTTATATGTGTTTGTCTGTTTGTTTATATTATATGTGTGTACACATATATTTTAGATTTTATGCCTTTGACAATACCCATTGGTTTTGGTTTTGGGGTTCAGAGCAATCCTGAATGAAAGCTTGTTTTTCTTGCATGAAGAAGGAACCTTTTGTTAGGTTTTGCCATGAATTCATCTTTTCTCTAATAAAGGAAAGAGCGTCTGCTATGCCAAATCTTCCATCAAACTATCAAATAGATACAGTTGATTGGGGGTTATGTACTCCACACACCCGTTGTCCAGTTGAACAAGCATCTATACCAAGAGAATGCTATTGCTTTTCCATTAGGCTATTGGATTAGAAAACCAGTACTGAAGTGACATGTTCGGGCTCTTTGTAGGATGGCTCCTAACTAGGAGACATTTTCCTCCAGTGATACTGTTTTATTAGTTGAGAAGATTTCTTTTTTTAATAACATTTATTTTAGGCCTTCCTAGAAATAAATATAATAAATGATTTCTTTTGTAATAACATTTATTTTAGGCCTTCCTACAAATAAATATAATAAATGTTTCCTTCAGAGCTTTTATTAATCTCTTACATGCTTAGATTCAAAACACTTTTATAGATTTGAGCTTGAAATAACTATAAGGACACATAAATTGTGTCAGTTTGCTAAGTGTGAAAAGGAGCACAAGTAGCTACTAAGATCAAACATTCCATCTTTCAGAAAGGTAAATGCCTGCTAAGGAAGGGCTATGTATACATGACTGTATATAGATTGAGCATCTCTCATCCAGAAATTCGAAATCCTCAAAAAATCTGGAACATTTTGTCCCCAGTGCCTGTTTCTGTCTTTCTCCCCACTCTTTTTTCTCTATCAAAGGAATGGATGAAGTAAGAAATGAGTGTATTGTCGAAGGCTTTCATGGCCAGAATCACTGGGTTGTTGTAGGTTTTTCAGGCTGTATGGCCATATTCTAGAAGCATTCTCTCCTGACATTTCACTGCATCTATGGCAGGCATCCTCAGAGGTTGTGAGGATGCATGCCATTGATGCAGACCTCACCACCTCTGAGGATGCCTGCCATAGATGCAGGTGAAACGTCAGGAGAGAATGCTTCTAGAACATGGCCATACAGCCCGAAAAACCTATAATAACCCAAAGAAAGGAGTACCTCACTTCTACTTGTTGCTGGGGCCACCACTATCTGCCTCCTTCTTCCTGTTCCCTTCATGGAATTGTTGGCGTCCCCTTGAAGCCACCACACTTGTGGTGGCAAGCAGTCATCCCACTCATTTTACGCCCATGTGATGGCACCCCACCAAAGTGATGAGAGCAGCAACAGAGGCAGTAAAAATAGCCACTTTGCTTCCTTAGCTGCCAGGACTCCTCTTCACCAGTAAAGCATGACACTCCCAATGAGACCTACAGAGGATGTGTGTGTGGAGGGGAGAGAGAGAGTAGGAATGGTAGACAGCATTTGGGCAAGGCAAAAAAGTAGGTGAAAAGGTAAATGCATGGCTCCGAGTAGAGTGAAGCCACTATTATGAGGAATGTACGGGAGGCGCAAGTGGGCATATGTGGTATGAGTTGGTAGCTAAAGTGTCTTGAAGGGACTTTTTAATTATATGCAAATATAGGTATTTCAAAATCCAAAATACTTCTCTTCTCAAGCATTTCGGTTAGGAATATTCAACCTTAGTTGTCTGTTTTCCCCAGTCTATTTGTACTGAAAAGTTAAAAATGCTAAGTAAGACTCTGTGTCTCCTTAAATGGAACTGCAGAGATTGAATAACTGTGTAAAACACAGAAACATAGAATTATAGAGTTGGAAGAGACCTCGTGGGCCATCCAGTCCAACCTCTTGCCATGTTCTATTAGTGAGCTGCTGCCTCTCTCCAGAATACAGTAAAGTCTAGAAGAGTATGTTTTCCTCCTATGTGAAGAGATTTTCATATTATATGACTTGAAAAAAAAGCTTCAATTCACCTTATCTCTAATATAACAATCGATTAAACATCCATGTCCCCATTCGCTTGGCAGTTTGTGCTGGGTATGAGATGGACTTGGGGGAACAGGAAGAATTATATTTTTGCTGTGGGAACTCTTCAAAGACAACATTAGAACAGTCTTCCTTATAGCTGCTATTGTTCTTTCTTTGAAAAAAAATACTTCCACAAAGTAAATATTCAAATGGATACATTTTTTTATTACATCAAACTAGATTAGGCATTCTGAACAGCACATTTTAGTACATAAATTTGTTGCCAAATAAGTAATAAGTTGAAACAGAAGTGTTCTTGTTATTGCCTTAAGGCACAAATAGATTATGCCTTAGGAGGACCCTAAGGTTATCCTTTCATGACTTGATCATAGAGAGTTTTATGGTGTACTCAGGAGGCTGGAACAGATTATAATAGCATTTCACTGTGAACTTTTGAGATAAGAGTGTTTTGATTTAAGAGCTTAGCTGCGGAACGAATTACTCTTAAGTCAAGGTATCTGTATATACTAGGGTAGCATCATATATTATTTTTGATGTTGATTCATTAAATTCAGAACTGTGATGAGTTCTCCACATGTAGCCTAATCCATGTTGTGCTGTTATATGAACTTGAAAGTTACCTTCATGGTCATGGTGACATCAGCTCATATCTTCTTTGTTATTCTCTGTATAATTGATCTGACATGGACGCATGCTTTTAACATGCTGGTAACTCATTATCTAAAGCACTTTGTGAATATAGGCTGCTGTACTATAAATGGAATCTTCTCAATCCAGACAAAATCGAATTGATGTTGGTGGGTGGTTAATCTGCCTAGGTTAATAGTATTTATGCCTTGTTTTGAACAGGGGTTCAGTTTCTCTGAAAATAAAGCATCTCAACATAAATAAATATATAATCTAATATCTCTGAAAGCAAAAAATCAGAGCCTCTTAAAGAAGTGGACTGTTCTTTTGGGGGCAGGAGGCAATTCTCACCCATATGTACTCTGTTTGTAGTCTGTACTTTGTGTTTCCAGTGAATCAGATGTGACATCTCATCATTTCCAGTTTTCTCTTTGTGTTTGGTCTTTTTCTTTTGTGTTTGGTCTTTTGTGAGAGTGGATGCAGTATGGGAGACAGGTAAGCTAAACCACTATGGTTAGGCTATCTGTGACTATTTCTGGGTGAAAATCAGCCAGAAATTTTAATTTTGAGGAACGATTCAGAATGCTTTGGAGGCAACTGGAGCAACAAAAATAGGATTTTGGCTGTTTATGGACCTGAATTTCCCTCTCCCAGTTTTGTCAGTTTAAATATTCCAACAACAGATCTGCCTAAACAGACACAATCTTTCTCAGCTATCAGTGGTGTTGTATGTTTCAGATTGTTATATGCTGAACTGCTTTGGCAGGTTTTGGAACTACAGAACTGACAGGTGATTTGAGTCTAAGTACTTTTGGGATATTATAGTGTTGCTTTATCATAAATTGACCCATTCCTAAACTCAACTCAGACCAGTTTTAACTTTTAAAACCTCTACATGGTTTGGGGTCAAGGACCTCCTGTCTTAATATGCTTGTCCAGATCCCAAGAACTTCATTTTTAGCGTCCTTTTAAATTGCAAATATTGTCTGTTGGGCATTTTTATGCCATAGTTCTCTCATTTCTCATTGGATTCAGCAATCCATTAAATATTTGAGTTGATTTTTTTGTCATGTCAGAAGCGACTTGAGAAAATAATTGAAAATAATTGATTAAATAATGTAAAAATACAAAGATAAAAAAGATGCAGATTTTTGACTGGAGTTACACTGAAAAAATGCACTTATTTCGACCTACATACAAATTCAACTTAAGAACAAATCTACAGAACCTATAAAGTTTATAAGTGGGGATTGGCTGTATAGGTATAACAAATTGGTTTCTAGAGTAGACTTAAATAAACAACTAAGGGATGGTTGGGACTCAGTATATTCTTTTTAGCAGAATTGGAGCTGATAGAGGGAGTTAATCCGTGCTCTCCCCGGATTCGAACCTGCAACCTGTCAGTCTTCAGTCCTGCATGCGCAGGGGTTTAACCCACTTCCATGGAATAATGAATATCACATTTGGTGTGGTGCACAATGAGCGAATAGTCTAGTATTGTTTACCTACAAAATTCGCCTTTCCCATTTATATGTAATTCAATAATTAATATACTTAATAATTGATGTAGTTAGTGAAAACAATTGTACTTCTAATGCACGTTCTGTCCTGTCTGCCCCATGCTATCTGTAATATAAATATTGACATTTGTATCTATTGCTGCTAATTTGGTCATTTGATCAATGAGAATGACGTTGAGTTAATTGCATAATGATGTGATGTCCTTATGTATCTGCAAAGATTTACTTGTACATTTGTGTGTACTACCCCTGTATATTATGGTTTGGAGTAACATTTTTCAGTATGAAAGAACATTTTCTAGAATAATCAGCTAGTGTTACATGGTATTTTGTTTTCGTTCAGATTTTTGTGAAAGCTTGAAGAGAAACCTTGAATTGGTTTGTTGTTAGTATGATGCATGGATTTCATTGAGAGGGACTAAAGGCACAACCAGCAGAGGTTTTGTTGTCTTGTTTCTCTTCTAACCAAAATGAAGCCAACTGGCTTGCTGTCTCTTAAGAGGCAGTGATGCTCCTGGAAGAGAAGCTGTATCTACCTAATTTTCTGCTGTACTGATATACTTGTATTGTTTTGGTTCTCATACAGATGGAGGAAGCGAGGAACAAGCAGACCGAAGGCAAGCAAGCATAGACTACTGTCAGAGCCATTCAGGGCAAGGTAAATAACTAGTAATTGTCACGAATAAAATGCCTTATCAAATGTATTAGTGATTTTTTACAACTGTATTTCTATTATGGAGTGATTCACTAGCTTTTAAAAAAATCTTAATATTTACAGAGGAATATAAGGCCTTGGAAATTGTAAGATCCCATATGAGAATGTGCTGTTTAACTTCCATCTATCCTCCTCTAATGATGATTATTAGATAGTATCACAGGAACAGGGATCTAAATCACTAGATACCATCTGATCTTGGAAACTAAGCAGTGCCAGCCCTAATTAATAGTTGGATGGGAGACTTCCAACAAATACCAGATGTTTTACACTATATTTCAGAGGAATAAACTGGCAAAACACCTTTGAGTATTTCTTGCCTAAGAAAACCTTATGAAATTCATGAGATTGTCATAAGTTGACAGGTGACTTGGTGGCACATATGCGTGCATCCAAGGGATGGTAATAACAAATATAAATAACCTCGCTGAATATTGCTCAAATGAACTAGTTTTATTCCAACTGCCATTCAACATTTATTCTCTATCTGTGACAGATAGATGTAAAACATTGTTGGGGCATGGAATTTCTATTCTAAAATAGAGCAGCCAAAATAGGGGCAGCCAGAAATACCAGTTCAGGGAAATGCTAGAAAAGTTGTGCTACCTTCCACACAAATGTTCACATTTCATAGAATCCTAGAGTTGGAGGGATTATAAGGACCAGCTAGTTCAACCCTCTTTTGAGAGGCTCTTTGGAAACTTATTTTAAGTTCTAGAGTGCAGCGTTGTGCATGCTTGAGCAAAAATAACTGGCTAAAAGTAACTCTTGTTATATTACCAGATCTCTTTCATGCTTGTAAACTTTAATACTCATTTTAAAGTCATCTGCTTATTTTAATGTCCAGTGTTATGCCTGTTTACTTACAGATGTTCTCATTACTGTTTCTGACTTGTCTCTTTATGAAAACAGAGATAGAGATGCTCTTCTGAAAGCCTATTGTGTGTCCCTCTGTACACTATCCATTTATCAGTTTCACTTTTCTGCTCTATAGGCAGGCTCCAAAGTAATTTTAAGTATTCTAAATGAAAGCACAAAGAAAAATATTGTCTTACTCTGCAGTTAACCAATTACTTTACTTAGGTGATCTCTCATTGTCCGATTATGATTGTCCTCCAAGTTCAGTGTTCTGGTGGTGGGTACGTGGGTGACTGTGGAGCCCTATTCTTGACTTGCATGTTCTCCTGCAGTGAGGGCATCGGTTTTCAGGTGGAAGGCGGTCCCGGTCAGGGTTGACTTGGTGCATCTTCCTCTTGGCAAGTTTCTCTCTTTCGCCTTCATTCGTGCCTCTTCAAATTCTACAGCACTGTTGGTCACAGCTGACCTCCAGCTAGAGCGTTCAAGGGCCAGGGCTTCCCAGTTCTCAATGTCTATGCCACGGTTTTTTAAGGTTGGCTTTGAGCCCACCTTTAAATATTTTTTTCCTGACCTCCAACATTCCGTTTTCCATTCTTCAGCTCGGAGTAGAGCAACTGCTTTGGGAGATGGTGATTGGGCATTCAGACAATGTGACCAGCCCAGCGGAGTTGATGGCGGAGGACCATTGCCTCGATGCTGGTGGTTTTTGCTTTATCCAGCACGCTGACATTTGTCTGCCTGTCTTCCCAAGAGATTTGCAGGATTTTTTGGAGGCAACGCTGATGGAATCGTTCTAGGAGTTGCATATGATGTCTGTAGATAATCCATGTTTCACAGGCATATAGCAGGTTTGGGAGGACAGTACTTTTATAAACAAGCACCTTGGTATCCCTACGGATGTCCCGATCCTCAAATATTCTGTGCTTCATTTGGAAAAATACTGCACTCGCAGAGTTCAGGCGGTGTTGTATTTCAGTATAAATGTTGACTTTTATGGAGAGGTGGCTGCCAAGGTAGCAGAAATGGTCAACATTTTCTAATGTTACACCATTAAGCTATATCTCTGGCATTACAGAAGGATTGGCTGGTGACAGCTGGAAGAGCACTTTGGTTTTCTTGATGTTCAATGACAGGCCGTACTTCTCGTATACTTCTGCGAAGGTGTTTATATTGGCTTGTAGGTCTTCTTCTGAATGCTCACAGACAAAGTTGTCATCAGCATATTGGAGTTCTATAACAGATGTTGTTATAACCTTGATTTTGGCTTTTAGTATGCTGAGGTTAAATAGCTTGCCATCTGTCCAATACATGATTTCCACTCTGGTGGGAAGCTTTCCATCAACAAAATGAGGTATCATAGCAATGAAGATGGAAAATAAGGTTGGAGCAATAACACATCCCTGTTTGACACCTGATTTCACCTTAAATGGGTCTCTTTGGGAGCCATTGCTGTCTAAGACTGTTGCCATCATGTCATCATGGAGGAGCTGCAGGATGTTCACAAATTTGTCAGGGCACCCGATTATTTGGAGGATGGCTCAGAGAGCGCTGCGATTCACTGTGTCGAATGCCTTTGCAAGGTCAATGAATGCCATGTACAGAATTTGATTTTTTTTCCCCCCTGCATTATTTTTGAAGTGCGTGAAGATCATGTCCACTGTTCCTCTGGAGGGCTGGAAGCTGTTCTGGGATTCTGGGAGGGTGTCTTCTGAGAGAGGTAGAAGGCAGTTTGCAAGTTAACCAATAATCCTGCTGGTTTAGAGCTTCAGTGCCCTTCTGTCCTATAATAGAAAAAATAGGGACTAAATGATCAAGGAAGAATGCAGATGGATAGGAGATAATTTATGATTTATAAGGGAATACAAGAGATAGTAAATTTTGTTTTTCTTTCTTTCTACAACACAGAAGTTGAGGCATGCATTAAGTTAGTTTTCCATGGATGTGAATCATGGATAAGGCTGCAATCCTATTTTAATTTACTCACATACTGATTAGACATATGTTGGCAATATAATTGGATCTAAAAAGATGTCATTTAAACAAATGCAACCTAAATTCAAAGTTAGTGAGAGTATTAAAAATAATCAGAAGACTTGAGAAAATGGCAATGACCCTTCAGGAAGGATTGGAGCCACTGCAGAACAGTACCTCCAAGGCCCATCCCCGCAAGGTGCCCCAGAAGGATAATGTGGTTCACAGTATCAAAGGCCGATGAGAGGTCAGGCAGAACCAACAGGGACACACTCCCCCAGTCCAGCTCCCAGTGTAGATCATTCACCAAGGCAACCAAGGCTGTCTCAGTTCCATGTCCTGGCCTAAAGCCAGACTGCGCCAGATCTAGATAATCCATGTCTTCCAAGAATATCTGGAGTTGCGAGGCCACCACACGTTCCAGGACTTTGCCCGAAAAGGAGAGATTGGAAACTGGCCGAAAGTTGACTAATTAAGTGGGGTCCAGTGACAGTTTTTTCAACAGTAGTTTTATTACAGCTTGTTTTAAGCTGGCTGGAATCTTGCCTTCCCGTAGGGAGGCATTAACCACCACCTTCACCCACTCTGCCAAAACCCCTCTGGCGTCCTTTATCAGCCGGAGTTATGAGGTGGCTGTGGCAGCTGGGAACCAATTGTTCCCTTAAGGAAGTGCTCCCAGCGCTAGCGATGATGGCAGCACTGATAGCGGTTCTAGGGCAAGCGGATTGCCTCCCAGGACTGCAAGGCACTTGCGATGGCGGGAGCCAATTGTTCCCGGGTCGGAGGAACTGCTCCCGGCACTGGCAGCCCCGGCCACAACAACGGCTGTAACAAAGATGGTTCTTGGTCAACAAGTTGCCTCCCGGTGTGTCGAGGTGGCTGCGGCGGCCGGGAACCAATTGTTCCCCGGAGCGGCAAAACTGCTCCCGGCCTGGTGAAATGAAATGACGCTGATGGCCAAATGGCTACTTCCCAGGACGGTGGAGTTGTGGTTATGGTAAAATTTGCCAACAGTTGTTGCCTCCCGGTGCTCTCGGATAGTAGATAGGATAGGAGATATCCAAACAGGTCAATAGGGAAGATCTCTTACCAAACTGTAGGTCGACTGGGGATTCGGCAGCCAGTGAGCTAGACAGGAGAAGAACACTGGCAGGCCGGCTTGACTCAAGTTACTCCTGCTATCAATGGCTATAGCCCAACACCAAATTTCTTAGTTTTGCTCTCTCCTGTCCCTTTTTTCGCACTTTTCAGACCCAGGAAGAACCTTTGACTGTCCTAGGTTCCGATGGTGCAAAAATCGTTAGGAGGAGGCTATGCAGGAGGCGGATTACTTTGGATTACAGATTGGTTCTCTCCGAGCTTAACGGAGCCCTTCTTGTCTTGCCGCCATTTAGATAATAATTCAAATATCTCTTTAGATGCCAGACCCACCCCATAGTTTCCCCGAAGTTGGAAGCAAGAGGCAATGAAAGCTCTAGCTGACTTTCATTTGCTGAAAACATGACTTCTCATCACTGCTGATTCTACTGGTGTGTCTGTCAAAACTGATCCTACTGGTGTGTCCTACTGGTGTGTCTGTCCTCCTATCTTTTATGCAAGTCCAACTCTTGTTATAGGGGGTCATAAACATTGCTTATGAACTGATTTAAGGTGAGAAGACTATATTCATTTTTATTGTTATATTTCTTTCAGGTGGCAGCTCCACAGAGAACGACTGTGCATTTGAACCAGAGTATGCTATCCCAGCACTCCCAGTGCCCGAAGGTATGCAGCACATTCGGATTATGGAAGGCATGTCCCGCTCTCTCCCATCCTCCCCATTACTAACACATCAGTCTATCAGTGTTCGGCTCCAGCCCATGAAGAAATTAACTGGTAAGGAACTTACACAAGTTTAGTACATTTGAAGTGTTGAATAAAACCTGGCATTCCCTCTTCCCTCTCAAACACTGTGTAAGTTGAGTGAATTTGGTTTTGATTTAACTTAGAATATGCTTGGAAAAACTTTGCTATTTTAAAGGTGTTATCTTTATTTTTTTCCATTATTCAAATTGAATGTGATTAATGCAGTGAACTTGGTTTCAGTGGTTCCTATTGAGTTATTTTGGAAAACTTAAATAGGCTGTCATCTAAGACAAAATGGAGAGAGTGGAACCTATTTTCTTTTCCAGACATTGGAAATGCCAGAGAAATTGTATCTGTTGTTCATAAGCCAGGTTTGAAAACAGTATTTTTAAAAATCTTGGATAAGTAGGTAGCTATCGTATGGGAATATATAAGGAATGGATTTTGGCACAAATTGTAATGAGACCCTAAATTACCCACTCCTTTGATAATGGATAATTTGGTCATCTTTCACAAATACTTCTGGAGGAGTCAGGGCTTTCCTCCCCACTTCTGTTGGTAATTCTGGAGTTGCAGTGAAGAAATATTTTTTACACAAGGAACAAAGTTTGTGACATCGGAAATACTTACCTTCAGTACCATTTCATAGTGTGTCAGTTGAAATGACTTCTTACTTTTTTTTTCTTGACCTGACTGGATGTTGTATTTTGTGCATGGAGGCAAGGGTCATGTGTGGAAATGTTGATCTGACTTTATCCTTTGCTCTGTCTGAGGCAATAATTTCAGTTCCTGGTCACCTCTACCTATCAATCTGTATGAGAAAAGAGGTGCTTTTTTGAAAATCTTGTATGTCCCCTATACATTCATGTATGGAAGGAGTTGTACTGTTTTTAAAAGCATAAAACAAGAAAAAGAAACCAACTGAATTACAGCCTATAGCAGAACCATTACAATTTCCTGTCGTAGTCACTGTGAATCGTACATTTGGTATCCAAAATGCTCTAAAATCTCCACAGAGATCTCATGTACATTGCTCTATTTTTATAAAAAATATATCAGGTCCCTTACGTCCTCAGTCTCTCAGATTCTCAGTCTGTCTCCAGCCTGACATCTCATATACAACACAGTTAGCAAATGGGGTGTGAAACTGGAGAAAGGCAGGAGGATCTGTGAAATGGTGAGAGGTGTGATTTGTGGTAAGCACCACTCTTGGAATCTTACAATTTCATAGATATTCCAAATTTCCCAAAAATCCGACATCTGAAACACTTCTGGTCTCAAGCATTTTGAATAAGGCATACTAAATGTGTATTTATTATTTTGCATTTTCTTGGTTTCATTTTTCCATAGACGACAAGGGAGTATTTCAGTGCTACAATTATTTAATTCTGATTGTCTTGAAATCTCCCATGACATGTAAATTTATTAATCCTGCTTTTCAACATATGTAATGCTTTTAAATTTGACTCAATAAGTGAAAGCTGCCTCCTTCCCCAAAATTAAGGAGAAGGGCTGACAGCATTCATGACAATGTTCCCTGTAAGCATCCAGTCCTGGCAGCTTTCTTTCCTAAAATTAAATAGTATCTGCAGTTACTTGTCAAACCACAGCTCACCACAGAAACATCTGTTTGCAAAATCAGTTTGTAAAAGGCTAGAGGATGCTATGCTTATATTTGCATGTATAAACCTTGTGAGAACTCTTGACTTGTCATGAATGAAAAGCATGCTGGTGCATACTGTTTGATCACTCCCATTTGCAGTGGATCATCTGAACAAATCACAGAGCTTTGCTCTGCAGTTGTTTATTATGTCGTCTGGCTGCAGTCAGAAGAGAAAAAAAAAACCTAAGAGCAAACCCTAGTTTCTTTATTTAAATTGCTGGGAAGAGAAGTTGTCTGTTGCCAGAAGATCCAATAAATCAACCACACAATGAAGCTCTAGTTTGTTTAGCTGTTCCCACAGTGCAGAATGCAACAGCAACAATATGCTGCTCATTCACGACAAGCCATGATATGTTATATCATGTGAATGAACTCAAGTTTCCCCCTTGCTCAAAAAATTCCTCTCTCAATTTTTCTTATTTCCCTGTAGCAGTCATGTTTTTAAAATCTTTTTTTCTCCAAAAATCTGAATAACATAAGTAGGTATATCCATTTTTTTCATTTTTTCAAATGTTTTAAAAACTCAGTTATAAAACAATGTGATTCCAGTTCCATGTAGACTTGAAATGTAATTATTGCATTATTTATTTCTGAATGAATTATCTTCCTATGTTCTTCCGTTACCTTGGATATGTGTGTCTAGAAATACTTTGTTAATATTAACAATCATACAATTTATTTTTTCTTGGTGGTCTGTCTGGAACAATGTATCAATAACTACCAAACATTTGGACCTTTTCTCTGTTTCTGTGTGTAGATTATTATTATTATTATTATTATTATTATTATTATTATTATTATATTTATATCCCATTTTTTCTCTCCTGAAGAAAACTCATAGCGGTTTAACATAAAAGCATTAGCATACAATTTAAAATATACAATTATGCAAACATTAAAACAAAATTAAATATAAACTATTAAAAATCGCAGTTAAAATCCAATTAAACATATTCAAAGTTCAAAATCACAGCACTCACTAATTTGATCTTTAAAACCTTCATCTTTAAAAGCCTTTCTGAATAAAAATGTCTTAGCCTGCCACCAAAAAGACAACAGTGAGAGGGCCATTCTGGCTTTTTTGGTTAGGGAGTTCCAGAGTTGAGGGGCAGCCACCGAGAAGGCCTGCTCTCTCATTCCCACCAACTGAGCTTGAGATGGAGGTAGGACCAAGAGAAGGGCCTCTCCTGAAGATCTCAGGGCCCAGGCAGGTTCGTACAAGGGTATGTGGTCAGCCAAATAGCCTGGACCTGAAATGTCTCGGGCTTTAAAGGTCATAACCAGCACTTTGAATTGTGCCCGGAAACGTACTGTCAACCAGTGAAGCTTCTTCAACAGGGGAGTTGTTCGCTGCCTGTAATCAGCTCCAGTGAGCAACCTTGCTGCAGCTCTTTGGACCAGTTGAAGTTTCCGAGCACTCTTCAGAAGCAGTCCCACGTAGAGTTCCTTATTTATTTCTTTATTTCACACATTTGTACTCTGTCCTGTCCTTCTCACCCCTAGTGGGGACTCAGGGTTGCTTCGCAGCAGGCAACCATTAGATACCAAATCATAAATTAAAGAACAAAACAATTACAGGTAAAAACAGTTAAAACATCCATTATTAAAACCAGTTTAAAATACGCAAGTTCAAAATCATAATCCAAGGTCAATCCATTGTTGATCACATAAAATCACTCTCATTCTTGTTCCTGCATCTACTGCTCGAATGCTTGGTCCGACAGCTATATTTAAGATTTTTCCTAAAAGATAGGAGGTAGGGGACTGAACTGATGTCATGGGGGAGGGAGTTCCACAGACAAGGAGCCACCACTGAGAAGACCTTGTCTCTCGTCCTCACCAGTCACGCTTGCGAGATCAGGGCCTCCTCCGATGATCTTAACCTCCTAGATGGTTCATAGAGGGAGATACATTCGGACAGGTAAGCTGGACCAGAACAGTAATCCAGATAGGATGTAACTAAGGCATGTACCACCATGGCCAGATCTAGCTTCTCAAGGAACAGGTGCATCTGGCATACAAGTTTTAATTGTGCAGAGGCCCTTCTGGCTACCAACGACAGCTGGGCCTCCAGGTGCAGACCTATACCTTAAGGGGAGTGTAACCCCATCCAGCACAGGCTGAATCCCTATTCCCTGATCTGCCTTACGACTGACCAGAAGTACCTCTGTCTTGTCTGGATTAAGTTTCAATTTGTTAGCCTTCATCCAGTCCACTGCTGATGACAGACACAGGTTTAGGGTCATTATAGCTTCCTTGGCTTTAGGTGGAAAGTAGTAATAAAGTTCGGTGTCATCGGCATATAGATGGCACTGTAATCCAAAACTCTGGATGACCTCTCCCAGCGGTTTCATGTATATGTTAAACAGCATGGGGGACAAAATGGAACCCTGTGGAACCCCAGCACCACCTTTTGGGTACGGTCCTCCAGGAAGGATCGAAGCCACTGTTAAATAGTGCCTACCAGCCCCATCTCAGCAAGACAACCTAGAAGGATACCATGGTCAATGGTATCGAAAGCTTCCGAGAGAGCCAGGAGAACCAACAGGGACACATTCTTCCTGTCTAGCTCTCTACATATGTCATCCACCAAGGCAACCAAAGCTGTCTCTGTTCCATGTCCAGGACTGAAACCAGATTGAAATGGATCTATATAATCTATTTCATGCAAAAAATCTCTGGAGTTGGTAGGCCACCACACGCTCTAAGACATTGCTCAGAAAGGGAAGGTTAAACACTGGCCAATAATTGTTCATTATAGAGGATTTCAGGGGTGGTTTTTTAAAATATACATATCCCAACTGCCTCCTTTAGGCAAGTCGGAATTTTGCCTAGTTCCAGGGAGGCATTGACTACCACTTTCACCCACTCTGCCAGTCCCCCTCTGGCCAGGAAGGGCAAAGATCTAGAATACATGTGGTAGCACTCACCTTTCCAAGAATCCTATCCACATCCTCAGGCTGCACAGATTGAAAGGTATCCACCAATATTAGGAAAGCGGGGGCCAAAGTTATATCCACTGAAACTGTACCAAAACAGCATCCAAGTTGGAACAGATCTGAATGACTTTATCTGCAAAGTGCTGTGAAATCCTCCACAGAGAGCTTCTGAATGGTCAGGGATGTCTCCTTGAGGACCGGCATGTAATCGCCCTATGACCACTCCAAACAGCTTAGCTGGACAGTTTCTTGCAGATGCAATGGTTGCAGCAATTAACAATTTCCCTGCTGCCTCCATTGCTGTGGAGTAAGCTCTCAAATATGCTCTAGACCATGCTTGGTTCTCCACCAACATCACTGTTGTCTCCATTTCACTTTCTTCATCACTGCCAACTGGTTTGGCTTTGCTCTGTGAGAAGGGACATTCA